CGTTCGGAGAGGTAAGTAGGGCCAGAACCGTTTACACTAAGTCCTATGGATGTCATCAGACGTTTTAGTGGAACCGTCAGTGAGACTTGTACATATCCAGCTGAGATTCAGCCTTTTTTATGCCAACAAATTGTTCTGTCATGTTAATTAGTAACACAAAATACAATACTTTGACTTAAAAAGCACACCTCTTCTTGATTCTTTATGTCTCAGGGCTCCCTCTTTCTCAACCTTGCTGGGCACTATACAAAAGTCATTTCCTTGTGTGACAACCTGCATGAAGCTAAGAGTGTTCATTCATATTAATGCATCATTCCCAATAGCCAAACTCTCATTGCTATCAATACCAATTTCAAAAATCTGTAGCATGAAAAGAAGCGCTTAATTAAATGGATCGACATAAAAGTTAATAACATTGTCTTCTAGCACTCAATTAAAATATCATATCCCAAAAGGTTCAAGCAGTCTTAAGCCTCCGAGTAACTAATCATTCAAGGTGAAAATGCAGAATTCAATAATAAATCAGCAGTAGTTAGGGTGGAAATAAAGCACACCTGGACTATAAAATATTGCTTGTATGTGGGAATATTTTTGGCAGATTTTCAATATATCCAGTATTTAAACTTAGGGGTGAATAAACAAAGAAAGGTCAAGATGAGAAATGAGGACTGCCAGAAGTGAGCCTCGAGCTGATGCTGCATCGAAATATTCTTGTAAAAGAAGGTCAAGGTATTTGAATGAAAAGTCATTCAAGAGACCCGATTTATTTTTCATATTCCTATTCCCTCTCACATGCATCCCTTTTGGAATCCTTGGAGTCTCCAGATATTTTTGGGCTACAGCTCCCATCTACATCAGACACATGGACAACGGGTTTGTCCTCCAAAATATCTGGAGGGCACTAGTCTGTTTTAGATACCTTTTCTCATCTACTAGGTGTTCCAGACAATTGGATACATTTCTGCAAACGATGAACAAGTTTTCTGAAACGGTCACAGAAGAAGCCGACACTCTGTTTCTGCAACCCATCGTGCACAGATCTTCCGATAGCCAAGCAAAGCAATAATGTGACCCACACGTTCTTGTGAAATGCCGATTATTTCTCTCTTAGTGATACGACGATCGTCCTGAATCAGTCTGTCAACCTTTGGCTTGTAAAACTCAGTGGTTGCTGTCACAGGACGTCCAACTCCTTGTTTGTCACACAAGTCAGATGTTCCCACCTCAATATCTTTAAACTTTCTCGCATAACGATGCACAGTAATAATAATAATAAACTTTATTTATACTCCACCACCATCCTCACTTCACTTCACTTTATTTCTTCATTAGTCGCTCTCCACCAAGGTGCTCCGAGCGACTTACAATCTAAAATAGCATTTACACAATATAAAAACATTCAACATAAAAACATTCAACAGTGACTATTTAGCAAATTAGATCTGATTACTTAAATGCACAACCAAACAGCCAAGTCTTGAGTGCCTTTACAAAAGGTTGCAACTCCGACATTGCTCTAATGTATGGAGGCAATGAGTTCCACAGAATTGGAGCATAGATCGAAAAAGCTCTACGCCTTGTAGCTTCCAGGTGTACCTCCCTAGGGCCCGGTATGTATAGGAGATTTTCCTGGGTGGATCGAGGTGACCACTGATGGAGAAAAGGAATGAGGCGGTCCCTAAGATATAAAGGTCCTTGGCCATTTTGAGCTCTAAATGTCAGGATCAGTATCTTGTAAGAGATCCGATGTTCTATTGGTAGCCAATGCAGTTGTTGCAGAATCGGTGTGATATGGGATCTTATAGATGATCCCGCTAGCAGCCTGGCCGCTGCATTTTGGACCATCCGAATCTTCTGGGTTGTTGACTTTCGGAAGGCCGGCATATAAGGCATTGCAATAGTCCAACCTCGTGGTGACTGTTGCATGGATTACTGTTGCCAATGCTTCTACCGAAAGGTAGGATGCCAATCTCCTTGCCTGGCGAAGATGAAAAAAGGCCTGCTTACTTATGGCAGTGATCTGGGCCTCCATCCTCAGCGATGAGTCCAACACAACCCCAAGGCTTTTAACAGTGGCAGACGGAACCAGAGCTTCCCCATCGAAATCAGGCAGAGACTGGATTAATTCTGGCGGCTGGCCGGGCCAGAGTATCTCAGTTTTTGCAGGATTCACTTGGAGTCTGCTCGCTCGCAGCCAACTCATCACTGCTTCCAAACACAGCCTAAAGTTCTCAGGAATCGCGGTTGTCCCAGGTTCGAGACGCAAGAGTAGCTGGGTATCATCTGCATACTGGTAGCACTCTATGCCAAAGCTCCGCACCAGTCCAGCAAGTGGCCGGATGTAGATGTTAAATAACAGGGGCGAGAGGATAGCACCCTGGCGTACTCCACAGCAAAGGCAGGAGCTCTCAGAGCTTTGGCCTAACCACTCCACCCTCTGTCTCCGGTCCCGGAGGAACTTCGGGCAACTTCGGGACTTCGGGCGGCTTACATGAGGCCAAACCCAAACAAAAAATTACAGCAAAATAAAAACAAAAATGAAAACAATAAACAACATCATAATTACATAAAACATATGAATGCATAACAATATAAAATTACAGTAAACACAATCACAGTGACAACGGGCAAGCTACATGTAATGATTAAAAGAAAAACTAATTAAAAACTAGTAGCTATGGGGAACCCTCTCAGCCCAGTCATAGCTAACTTCTACATGGAACACTTTGAAAAACAAGCTCTTGAAACAGCAACCAAAAAGCCCACTATATGGTTCAGATATGTGGATGACACTTTCACCATTTGGAGCCATGGAGAAGAACTCAACAGGTTCCTGGAACATCTTAACAGCATCCACCCAAACATCCAGTTCACTATGGAAAAAGAAAAGGAAGGAAGACTGCCTTTTCTAGATGTCCTAGTCATCCGCAAACCAGATCAACAATTGGGTCACACCGTTTACAGAAAACCCACACACAGACAGATATCTACATAAAAACTCCAACCATCACCCAAGTCAAAAAAGAAGCACCATTAAAGCCTTGGCAGACCGTGCAAAAAGAATCTGCGAACCCCACCTCCTCCAAGATGAACTGAACCACCTCAACTGGGCTCTACAGGCCAATGGATACTCCACCTCAGACATCAGAAGAGCTGCAAGACCAAGAACAAGCCACAAAGTAAAGATGAAGATCCACCCAGAGGAAAAGTGTTCCTGCCATACATCAAGGGAACCACTGATCGCATAGGGAAGCTGACGAGGAAACACAACATACAAACAATCTACAAACCCACCAAGAAAATCCAACAAATGCTACGTTCAGCAAAGGACAAGAGGGATCCTCTCACCTCTGCAGGAGTCTACCGTATACCATGCAGCTGTGGACAAGTCTACATAGGGACCACCAAACGCAGCATTGCCCAACACAAGAATCCAGGAACATGAAAGGCACTGCAGACTACTCCAGCCAGAGAAATCAGCCATAGCAGAGCACCTGATGAACCAACCTGGACACAGCATTTATTTGAGAACACAGAAATGCTGGACCACTCTCACACCCACCATGTCAGACTACACAGAGAAGCCATTGAAATACACAAACATGTGGACAATTTCAACAGAAAGGAGGAAACCATGAAAATGAACAAGATCTGGCTACCAGTATTAAAAAATTCTAAAATTGCAACAGCCAAAACAGCAGAGAGGAAACAGGCAGGGACATCTAATTACCTTTCAAGAAGAGTTTGCTCCAGGCACAGTCAGCCCATTGTATGCTAATCAAGGTGGTCAGTTGAAAGATTCACACCTAGCCCAACTGACAAAAGTCCTTTGTCTCACCCTGGTCATTCCACAGATATATAAACCCCCTTTTTTCCCAGCTCCAACAGACCTCACCTCTGAGGATGCTTGCCATAGATGCAGGCGAAACGTCAGGAGAAATGCCTCTAGAACATGGCCATATAGCCCGAAAAAACCCACAAGAACTGAGTAATTAAAAACTGATTAAAAACCCGGATGAGATAAAGGAGAAGCAGGTTATTTACAGGGGGGGGGGGTCATTAAAACGGGGGTTGTGGAAACAAACTTTCCCACAAGGGGAGGGGGGACGTAGACTCCAATGACGAAACGTTGAGGCTAAGCAATAGTGTGAGGTTGTATACCTACTCACATCAACACAATCACCATATACAGCTTGCATTCTCTGATGAATCTCCTTTGGGACGACACCTTCTGCTGTCAAGAATTCAATGACTGCACGTTGCTTAAGTCGCATTGACCGACCATCTGCGCAGGGTTCCATACTTCTCACTTTAACAACACAACCGTTCAATGCTAAAGCTTCCCATCAAAATGGAACTATAGAGGAGAGTCTACTGAACAAGCCAGTACCTGCTGCATACCAGTACTGCCATCTGTTGAGGAGTTACGAAGGTGGAGGCATTACTTTTCAGGACTATCAGTGCCAAATTGGGACGATTGAATGTACATCTACATGTAGCCATTCTGCCTGTCTAGTTGCATACATGTCTTTCAAACTTTGGGCTTTCTAATCTTTTGGACCTAAATTCCCAGAATTTGGCAAGGTGATCAGCATCGACCATTATAATCGGGGTAGCATCTTGAGGACCTAACGTCTACTAGGGCCTAGCCTAGGTTGTAGTTGAAATACTTGAATAAATCTCCAAAGCATCATAATCCAAAATTACATATTGCTGACTTGAAGGATTCATAGTATGACAGACCTTTATCACAGCATGTTAATGCTATATGGAGACGTAAAAACATGTCAGCTCAGGTCATTTTTTGGAAGGAGAGTATCCCGCAAGAGCATTTATGACAGAACAAATAGAAGGAAACTAAAAACGGAAAGTATTTGAAGTGGCATACCGGTAAGAAGGAGAAGGAAATATGAAGAGCTATCTGAGCAGAAGAAATAGGTTGAAGAAGAATGACAGGCTTTCAAGCCAACGTTGCTAAAATTGTTGACAGGAAATTATAGAATCCCAGAGGCTGGTAAGAAAAGAATCAAGAGAACCATTCGAGGAGGAATGGCAGAGTCAAACTAGCAATAAAAGTCGAACCAAGTTGTTCTAAATAAAGTAGGGATTCAATATACTGAAAAGAACTACAGAATTTAAATTGTAGACTTGAGCCTGGATCCGTTTTTAGCCGTTTCCTTCGACCAATCTGGCTCCTCCCATTTTTGTTTGGGTGCCAGTAACAGCAAGGGGCAGTCGTCATGGATTCCCGTCTGAAATGGAATCACGTGGCAGTCAATCTGAGAGTTGGAGATGTGCAGGGATAGGTGGGTGGGGGCCTTGGGAGAGTCACCCTTTTAGATTTTTTCTCCCTCTGTTCTGTCGCACGCTAGGCCTGTAAATAATTGTCTCTGTGACTTGAGCCCAGCGGGAAGCCAGGGGGGCCCGAAGAGTTCTCAAGGATTTTCCACTACAAATGATCTTTAGATGGCTTGTGGAGCATAACAAAGTCCTTTATTAATGAACAATCAAACAGAAACTTCTCTTGTCTTCATAAAGTTAAACAAATGATTCCAGGCTTTTATGCAACTGGTGGTTTCCAAATCTTGTCCATGAAGGACAGGCAATTGTCTTCAAAAACTGATTCTTTATTTTAAAGGAAAATCCTCTTTTTAAGTTCTCCCAGGCTGACTGTAATCTAATCCTTACTGGTGTGGGCTCTGCAACCTGTAGTCACTTAGCTGGAGTTCTTAGATATTCAAAGCTGTTTTTCCCTCCGAAATTCCTCAGAACTTTAGGGCTGTTTCCCTGGGAATCTGTGGGAATCCTTTTGCTCTTAAGACTGTTCTCCCCCGGGAAGTCTTAAGGGTTGAAGCCTTTGTAGAGGAGAAAGTCTGTACACGTCCTGTACATTGACTTCCCTTGCTGAGACTGACTGAAAATGGCTCCCTTCCCTTCTCAATTGTCCTGAATAGGGGGCAGAACCAAACGTAATGATGCTGGACAGGGGGCCTGCCCTATAACTGCAAACTTTAACAGGAAGCCACCCTTCTGCAGAATCCCAAGCCTTTGGTTGCAAGCAAACACTTAATACAAGGCAAATAAAGTGGGAGCTTCTGGTACAGCTGTACCAGCACAAAGTCCTTAGTATTGCCACTACGTTCCTTCCCTCTTTCCTTTTAAAACATACTAAAACAGACTGACATGGTCAGAGGCGGCCCTAGGTAATTTTCAACGGTAAGCAAACAGTATTTTGCCCCCCCCCCACCAATCATTGATATATATTTTCTGTTCGTCGTGGGAGTTCTGTGTGCCATATTTGGTTCAATTCCATCATTGGTGGAGTTCAGAATGCTCTTTGATTGTAGGTAAACTATACATCCCAGTAACTACACTTGCCACAGTTGCTCCCTTGCCTGGCCTGCTTTGGGTCTGGAGGCGAGCCTGAAGACCCCGGCGTGTGCACCAAAAGTCACCTCTTCTCCTGACTTTCTCCTCAGCCATTGGGACCAAGAGAGAGAGAGAGACAGGTGGAGATGCCCACCTTTCCTGAAGGTAGGCGCAAAAACAGAGGAGGGAGTGAAGGTGGAAGAGACCTCCAGCCGGAGGGGCTCTCTCTCTCTCTCTCTCTGGGTCACAATGGCTGAAGAGAAATTGAGAAGAAGAGGCGACTTTTGGTGCGCACGCTGGGGTCTTCAGACACGCCTCCGGACTCGAAGCGGGCCAGGCGCGGCGGTTCCACCCCTTGTCCCACCCGCAGATTGGGGAGAGGAGAGGAGGTGGGTGGAGCGCCGGGGGATCGGGAAAGGGAGCCGGTCATGGGGAAGGGGTTGAACGCGGAGAACGATTGAGTGCCGGCTCTGCTCACACACCCAGTGGCCGGGTGGAGCAGGAACGAGAGGGGCTAGGCGAGGCTCAAGGGCCCGGCCCCTTTGGGAAGAGGATCGCCCGGCAGCGAGGCAAGAAAGCCGAGGCTCCCCCCGGACTGCTAGGGCTGTTGTGAGCTGAGGGGGCGCTCCTCAAGTGGCGGTCGAGGGGCATTTACAGAGGCGCCTCTGCACCCCTGGCAAAAAAAAGTGTTCTGCGACTGCTTACTTCGCGTAATGGACGAGCCGCCCCTGGACATGGTATAACACTAATAGCCTTGGAGCATGTTGCCATCTCTATCAGCAAAAACCAGTTATGGGCACGATACAAGAAGCAGCTTAATTATAATCATTAATCCACCCTAATACATGATGCTGCTCCCACATGCTGCCACGGTTTTAGGCCCAAGCATTGACAGTTAGCATTTTGCTCCTCAAAAGCAGCAGCTCCCCCTGTATCCTGCTATTAACAAAAAGCCAAAGTTCAAATTGGTTTTGCCCTGAGACGCAAGAGGTTTCATTAACTCTGCGGCAGAAGGAAAAATTACGCTGGCACGAAAGAGGGTGCTGAAAATTCATAATGCATGCTTGCTTTTAGTTATAATTTATCCATTAGGACATAATGTGGGGAATGGTAAGCAGTGTAGGAGCAGAAGTCCAATAATGGGCTCTTCATGAGAATAATTTCCATCCAATTAGATCCATGCTAATTCTGCAATTATTTTCTTCTGTATTTTACCATCACTTTCAAGATAATTATACCCAAATCAATGTGTTCTCCCCCTTCCTCTGTAAAATGGAAAATGGAAGTAGAAAACAGTTTTCATGATGTTCTTTTGATACTCTGAGAACCTTCTTCTTCTATCTCACGGAGGTGTGATTTCTGTAGAACATTTACCTTCATCCTATGTCAAGTGAGCTTTTTGCCTCTCAACACAAAGTCTCCTTCAAAGACAGTGTCAGTGATTTTCAAGAGGATCCAGCATTTGAGTCCTCATTTCTGAAGAGCAGTGAACAAAAAAAAAAAAGGGAAATCAATGGCATCTTTTGAAATCAAAGGCCCAAGAAACAGGCTTTCTGCAAAAATGCTCAAATCTCTATCTGACATATTTTTTTCCCCTTTCAGACTGAAAAAGAAATGGCAAAAGATGTGAAATTTAAGATGACATGACCTTTGGTACCCTGGTAGTACAGATCCTCTAACTCAGGGCTGTTGAGGTCATTTTCACCACAGCAGAGTAGCATAGCGCAAGGGCAGATGTCTTCACTGTGTCTGGTTGTGATCCCCAGGTTGTGCCAGTCAGCTTTCGTATGATATTGTTTAAGGTGACATGACCATTGGTACCTGGTAGTACAGATCCTCTAACTCAGGGCTGTTGAGGTCATTTTCACCAAGGGCCACATCAGCCTTATGGTTGCCTTCAAAGAACTGTTTGTAATTTGTAAGGTTGTAAAATAATAATTAGGTTGTAAAATAGTAACTACTCCTTAAGACATTGTTAAGTAACCTGTGACATCGTATCACACACCATCCTCATTGATTGATATAAATTGATAATGATGATGATTTATTTATCGTGTCATCCGCCACCAGACCATTCTATTACATTTCTAACAGAACAAAACAAACAAACAGATTAAAAACCACAAATTTTGCAAACTTGGTAGTTGATTAAATGTCCTTTGACCAGTATCTGGCCACTTGGAGTGCTCTGGTGTTGCCGCAAGAAGGTCCTCCATTGTGCATGTAGCAGGGCTCAGGTTGCATTGCAGCAGGTGGTCAGTGGTTTGCTCTTCTCCACACTCGCATGTCGTGGATTCCACTTTGTAGCCCCATTTCTTAAGATTGGCTCTGCATCTCGTGGTGCCAGAGCGCAGTCTGTTCAGCGCCTTCCAAGTCGCCCAGTCTTCTGTGTGCCCAGGGGGGAGTCTCTCATCTGGCATCACCCACGGATTGAGGTGCTGGGTTTGAGCCTGCCACTTTTGGACTCTCGCTTGCTGAGGTGTTCCAGCGAGTGTCTCTGTAGATCTTAGAAAACTATTTCTTGATTTAAGTCGTTGACGTGCTGGCTTTACCAGTAAAATTGCACTTCCTCCATCTCACCTGCATTGTCAGAGTTTAGATTTTAATCTCTCTACAGCAAGGTCTGTCTTGTTGCTAAGGATTATATGAGGAGGCAATGATTAAAATCTATTAGATATCATCAGCCATGAATATAATTTGTGAAATTAGCTTTAACTGTGCTCGATAATTATTCATCTGCGAACCATAATTTGGTACAGCTTTGGCTCGGTAATTGCTGATTAGACCAGCGGTATGCATGTGTTTTCCTTCTTGAATAATGATTTATAAAGATCTGTTTTCAAGCAATGTGAGAAACTTCCTCCTTCCCTGCAACAAAACTTGTTGCTCATTGCAATATGTAGTCAAGGATGCATCTTATGCAGTACACACTGTGAATTCCAATAATAATAATAATAATAATAATAATAATAGCCTGTCTGATCTCCCTAGGGAGGAAGTTCCAGAGTCGGGGGGCCACCACCAAAAAGGCTCTCTCCCTTGTCCCCACCAACCGTGCTTGAGATGGCAGGGGGAGAGAGAGAGCAATAGAAAGTAGCTGAGATCTTTCAGGAGGCACACATGTAGCACATTGCTACTTCTCTCTTACTGCATCCTCTGATCTAACCTCCACAAAGCCCATCTTGTAAGCAGGTCAGTCTCCCATCCCCAACAAAATCATTTCTGTATTGTCAGAGAAATTACATCTGGATGTAGTGCATCAGCATCTGTAGCCTCTAGGCCAGTGGTTCTCAACCTGTGGGTCCCCAGGTGTTTTGGCCTACAACTCTCAGAAATCCCAGCCAGTCTACCAGATGTTAGGATTTCTAGGAGTTAAAGGCCAAACATCTGGGGACCCACAGGTTGAGAACCCCTGATCTAGGAGATAGCATGGTATATTGACACCAATTTCACTTGGAATCTTTGGAGATGGTGGCTAGCTTACTTACTTTACTCACTTAGGCGATCCCTCATTTTCCGAGGGTGATTGTTTTCCAGTATTCTTGTGGGTCCGTATGTGGTTGTGGAGCCCTATTCTTGCTCCGCATCTTCTCTCTCACTGAGGGCATTGGTTTCCAGGTGGAATGTGGTCTCGGTCAGGGTTGGCTTGACGCACCTTTCTCTTGGCACGATTCTCCCTTTTGCCCTCCATGTCTTTGAGCCCATCTTTCAATCTCTTTTCCTGCCCACCAACATTCCGTTTTCCATTCTTGAGTTCGGAGTAGAGCAACTGCTTTGGGAGACGGTGGTCGGGCATCCGGACAACGTGGCCGGTCCAGCGGAATTGATGGCGGAGGACCATCGCTTCAATGCTGGTGGTCTTTGCTTCTTCCAACACGCTGACGTTTGTCCGCCTGTCTTCCCAAGAGATTTGCAGGATTTTCCGGAGGCAGCGCTGATGGAATCGTTCCAGGAGTTGCATGTGACGTCTGTAGACAGTCCACGTCTCACAGGCATATAGCAGGGTTGGGAGGACAATAGCTTATAAACAAGCACCTTGGTATCCCTACGGATGTCACGGTCCTCAAACACTCTCTGCTTCATTCGGAAAAATGCTGCACTCGCAGAGCTCAGGCGGTGTTGTATTTCGGTGTCGATGTTGACTTTGGTGGAGAGGTGGCTGCCAAGGTAGCGGAAATGGTCAACATTTTCTAATGTTACACCATTAAGCTGTATCTCTGGCATTGGAAAGGGATTGGCTGGTGACTGCTGGAAGAGCACCTTGGTTTTTCCAATGTTCAATGACAGGCCGAGCTTCTCGTATGCTTCTGCGAAGGTGTTTAGAGTGGCTTGTAGATCTTCTTCTGAATGCGCACAGACGGCATTGTCATCAGCATACTGGAATTCTATAACAGATGTTGTTGTAACCTTGGTTTTGGCTTTCAGTCTGGTTGAATAGCTTGCCATCTGTCCGATAGATGATTTCCACTCCGGTGGGAAGCTTCCCATCAACAAGGTGAAGTATCATAGCGATGAAGATGGAGAATAAAGTTGGGGCAATAACACATCCCTGTTTGACACCGGATTCCACCTTAAATGGGTCACTTTGGGAGCCATTGCTGTCCAAAACTGTTGCCATCATGTCATCATGGAGGAGCCGCAGGATGTTCACAAATTTGTTAGGACACCCGATTTTTGGAGGATGGTCCAGAGAACACTGCGATTCACTGTGTCAAATGCCTTTGCAAGGTCGATGAATGCCATGTACAGAGGTTGATTTTGTTCTCTGGCTAGCAACCCATTGGTTACTTCCAACCCATTCAGACCCATTCAGTTGATTGTTAAATTGTGAGTAAACATATAGGCAAATCCCACCAAATCAGTGGGTTTATTTTAGTCAGAAGTAAGAGCAAAGTTGAGGCCAGGGGTCCCCAAACTAAGGCCCGCGGGCCAGATATGGCCCTCCAAGATCATTTACCCAGCCCTCACTCAGGGTCAACTACGTCTGAAACGACTTGAAAGCACACAACAATAACAATCCTATCTCATCAGCCAAAAGCAGGCCCACACTTCCCATTGAAATACTAATTATTAATTATTTTAATTATTGTATTGTTTTTAAGTGTTTTTGCACTACAAATAAGATATGTGCAGTGTGCATAGGAATTCATTCATGTTTGTTTTCAAATTATAATCTGGCCCTCCAACAGTTTGAGGGACTATGATCTGGCCCTCTGTTTAAAAAGTTTGAGGACCTCTGATTTAGGCTAAAGTCTTCGAAGTACGTCCTGCTACCTGAAGATAGCTGAATATGCCCATGTTAACACACACACACCATTGCTACTCTCTGAACATATAGAAATGTCTGGGTTTCTAAACTGTGGTTCCTTGTTTGTTTTTGCTTTGAGCTTGTTTGACTTTTAGAACATAATGCTATTCATGCTTGTTCACACGTCAGCCTCACTGTGTTCAGTGGACCTTTCTCACAGGTAAGTGTGCATAGGATTGCAGCCTTATCATAAAAATAAACCCGGACACTGTAAATTGGATTCAGACAAGGTTATCTGAACATAGACTTCACTGAAATAAATGGGACAAAATAATCACGACTTAACTTAAGTCCCATTAGACCAGTGGTTCTCAACCTGGGGTCCCCAGATGTTTTTGGCCTACAACTCCCAGAAATCCTAACCAGTTTACCAGCTGTTAGGATTTCTGGGAGCTGACGGCCAAAACATCTGGGGACCCCAGGTTGAAAACCACTGCATTAGACTAATAAACTTAGTCTACACACAACCAATATTGGATCTCCCTCTCTTACTAGAATTTTGAAAAATTGTTAATTTTCTTTTGGGAAAGCACTTTTGATACAAAGGAAATAACGCAAATCACCACAAGTGGCATTGTGCATAATGTGTCATTGAGAAAAGAAGAGGAGGGCATCAGAGGTCTAAGCAATGTTAAAATTGATATTTTTGAAATGGGGCAAATATTACAATGAAACAGGTAATAGTCTTTTCAAAAAATGTATCAGTTTATGGACAATCCGTAAAATAAATGTACATACATCACAGTACAACCCCTATATCCAAGCTGGAATGTGTCCAGAGGAGGGTGACTCAAATGATCAAGGGTCTGGAGAACAAGCCCTATGAGGAGCGGCTTAAGGAGCTGGGCATGTTTAGCCTGAAGAAGAGAAGGCTGAGAGGAGATATGATAGCCATGTATAAATATGTGAGAGGAAGCCACAGGGAGGAGGGAGCAAGCTTGTTTTCTGCTTCCTTGGAGACTAGGACGCAGAACAATGGCTTCAAACTACAAGAGAAAAGAGATTCCATCTGAACATTAGGAAGAACTTCCTGACTGTGAGAGCCGTTGAGCAGTGGAACTCTTTGCCCCGGAGTGTGGTGGAGGCTTCTTCTTTGGAAGCTTTTAAACAGAGGCTGGATGGCCATTTGTCAGGCGTGATTTGAATGCAATATTCCTGCTTCTTAGCAGGGGGTTGGACTGGATGGCCCATGAGGTCTCTTCCAACTCTTTGATTCTATGATTCTATGATTCTATGACTGCTACTTGCATCTGACAAAACATGCCCTCCCTAGTGATTTCCTAGGTCCTCAAGTGCAACTCTATGCTATGCTTCCACCAGAAGTCATTTCTTTAATAGGAGCCATTATTGCCCACCTTTTTATGTAGTCCTAGAATGGATACCCAGTGGATACAAGGGTTGTACTGTATTTCCTTTTCTGGGCTCTGTATGAACATCCAACTCTTTCCCTGACTCCTTCTGGGGTGGATGGAAATAAATTTTATTATTGATTATTTGTTTATTTAAAACATTTATATTCCGCCCTTCTCACCCCGAAGAGGACTCAGGACGGAACACAGCATATATACGGCAAACATTCAATGCCGGGACACAAATTCATATACACGTACATAAACATTAAAAACATGTATCTCAATATTAAAATACACAATTTAAAACCATCCTAGTGATTAGTGTCAAATCTATCTCAATATTAAAATATGCCATTTAAAACCATCTTGGTCATCTGCATCAAATCCAATTGGCCGGGTAATCTTTCCTATTGCTGCTTTATTGCTCTGTCCCGAAAGCTTGGTCCTACAGCCAAGTTTTTACCATCCTTCTGAAGGACAGGAGGGAGGGGGCCGATCTGATCTCACAAGGAAGGGAGTTCCATAACCGTGGGGCAATCACCGAGAAGGCCCTGTCTCTCGTCCCCACCAATCATGTCTGTGACAATGGCGGGACAGAGAGCAGGACCTCCCCGGAGGATCTTAATCTCCGTGATGGTTCATAGGGGGAGATGCGTTTGGACCAAAATATTTTGTTGGTACTACTCCTTTATCCGGGCAGAAGCCACTAGGGGGCACTAGAGAGAGAAGAGTGGTCCATTTTATGGGGGGGCAGAACAAAACACGCTTTACGCGCGAGTAGGCCACACGGAACAGCTGCCCTTGGCTGGCTCATGCTGCCCATCGGGCCTGATGGATAGCGTGAGCCAGCCAAGGGAGGAGCAGCATTGCGAGGTGCGAGGTGCTTTACGCGCAAGTAGACCACGCGGAGCAGCTGCCCTTGGCTGGCTCACGCTGCCCATTGGACCTGACGGATAGCGTGAGCCAACCAAGGGAGGAGCAGCAACACACGGCCTACTTGCACGTAAAGCACCTCACAAGGTGCTTTACGCATGAGTAGGCCACGCGGAGCAGCTGCCCTTGGCTGGCTCATGCTGCCCATTGGGCCTGATGGATAGCGTGACCCAGCCAAGGGAGGAGGAGCAGCACCACGAGGTGCGAGGTGTTTTATGCGCGAGTAGGCCACGCAGAGCAGCTGCCCTTGGCTGGCTCACGCTGCCCATTGGGCCTGACGGATAGCATGAGCCAGCCAAGGGAGCAGCAGCACTGCCCTTGGCTGGCTCTGTGTGGGGGGGGCGCTCCTCCTCCGCGGGCCAGATAAGTGCCCATGGCGGGCTGGAAGTGGCCCGCGGGCCTTAGTTTGGGGACTCCTGCTCCACAGTTCTGGCCCAGCTTACTTGTCTGAACGCATCCACCCCTACGTCCCACCCTACAACTCGCATGTGTCAAGGTCTATTTTCCCCCAAGAGCGCCTCAAGAGTGCCCCTGGGCAAAATCAACTGTACTGTAAATGCTTACTTTGTGTAATGGGTTGAGCCGCCCCTGGGTATACAAATACTGTAAATAAATAAATAAATAAATAAATTTTAGAAAAGGGAGTTGACACTCTGTTTCTAATATGCATACCGAAAAAGACTGCTTGACTGACCTTGTTCCTTTTTTGTTTTTACAACAGACGAACCAAACACCTGGAGTTCTCCCACTGCCTCCTCCCCAGGTCTGCCGGAAGTAACTATTTCCCTTGACGACATTGTTTCACCATTATCTTCATCACATCTAGCCCAACCCTCTGACCCTTCCTACCATATAAACCCAGAACCAACTTGGGATATTAAGAGGGAACCTGATGTAAGAAAACCAAAGGAGCTTTCCGCAAATGGCCACAAAAAGAAAAGGTTAGGCGAGCAAAGAGAGAGGTCTATAAGTCCTAAAAAGGTAGATAGATCCAAGCATGAAGAGGCTTCTAGGAAAGGAAGCTCGGAAGGCAAGAGTAAGGCCGGCGAAAGTGGCAGGCCGACGTCAGATAGTAAGGCAGTCGGACTGAACGCAACAGCCGAGCCTGGAGTACGAGATCATGGGTGTGCTGGAACCAATGATGAACTGGCCGGGAGATCCAAGTGGCTGGACAGCAAAAGAGGAGGATCTCTTGGCATGAAAGACCACGAGACCGCAGTTGCTGCCGTGAAGAAGCCGGCTGCAGCTTCCGAACATGTCAAGCTGGATTCCTCTGGTGCTACAAAGGCGTACAGTAGCAATAGCTGCAGCTCTCACGGAAGTGACATGGATCACAACCAGAAGGAATCCGAGAGGAAGCCCAGCGAGTTCCCACGGAAGGGACACCTCCACTCCATTAACACACGCAGCACCAACACAACAGCTCGGAAGGCAACTGTCTCACCAGGACCGTGGAAGATTCCAGGTTCTGATAAGCTGCCTAGTGTACTAAAATCTGGCACGTCCGCTATGAGCAGATAAATCCATGACCGTTGCCTTCTAACTGTTTCACAGTGACACAGAACATCCTTCTTAGCTTCTGTCTCACGTTGATTTATTTTAATTTATTTTAACTATCTCACGCATACATTGAGGAATGGAAGCAGTCATATGGAATTCCATGACAAAACGTGCATAATGTCTTAATGAGTTAAAGCAACATAATCGCCACACAGTATTTACACGTGACCCTCCAGTCCCCAGTTTCACTTCAGAGACTTTTGGCAGCTATGGAAGAAACCAAAATAATATGAAGGACCGTCGACCATGAGGACAGTGCAGTGTAGCTTTAGTTTGTTGTTTTCCACTGCATGAAGGATTTGGGATTTTTCATTCAAACTTTATATCAAGAAACTGGAAGAAGTTCAGAGCAATCACAAACTGGAACATCGCCTTAAACAAAACTGCACGGAGCAAGCGAAAAAGTGGGAATCGAATCTTTTATCTGAGTTCAATGTTGTAAATAAATTGTTATTGACATATCCAGATGGGGGTTTGAAGCATTGGAAATTGTACGTCCATGACATGTCTCTACTGTTAACACTTTGGAATAGACCACCCAATCCCAGTAGCATAATTCATTATGCAAGGTGAGGAACCCTCGTGGATTAGCTGGTGCGATACCATTTCTACTGCCATTTTTTTGTGTGAACAAACCATATTTCTGTATGTTGGGGAAAGAGTTAGGGTGGAATTGTACTTGCAAACCAAGCCTCAAAAGCAATCTACCAGAAGTTACAACCCCACTCACAAGTATACACACACACACACAGATACCACACCAGATTCAACATGGAGAACTGTAACATACAGTTTCCACAAACCACTATGATTTCAGGGCGATTCCTGAAAGATTAAAAGCTGCAGTTTCCTTTCAAAACAGCTTCTGTCTCCAACAGAAAATCATAATTACAATGGGTTGTTGTAGGTTTTTTCGGGCTATATGGCATTTTCTCCTGACGTTTTGCCTGCATCTATGGCAAGCATTTCCAGAGGTAGTGAGGTCTAGTGGAACTAGGAAATTTGGGTTTATATATCTGTGAAATGACCAGGGTGGGACAAAGAACTCTTGTCTGCTGGAGCTAGGTGTGAATGTTTCAACTTTTTTTTTTTTTTTGGTTGTGTCAGGAGTGACTTGAGAAACTGCCCCCGGTGGCACAGTGGGCTAAACCCTTGTGCCGGTAGGACTGAAGACCGACAGGTTGCAGGTTTGAATCCGGGGAGAGGTGGATGAGCTCCCTCTATCAACTCCAGCTCCTCATGCGAGGACATGAGAGAAGCCTCCCACAAGGATGATAAAAACATCAAGATCATCCAGGCATCCCCTGGGCAACGTCCTTGCAGACGGCCAATTATCTCGCCAGAATGTTTCAACTGACCACCTTGATTAGCATTTGATGGCCTGGCAGTGCTTGGGGAAATCTTCTGTTGAGAGTTGATTAGATGTGCCTGATTGTTTACTCTCTGTTGCTTTGCTGTTGTAATTTTAGAGGTTTTTTTTAATACTGGTAGCCAGATTTTGTTCATTTTCATGGTTTCCTTCTTTCTATTGAAATTGTCCACATGCTTGTGGATTTCAATGGCTTCTCTTTGTAATCTCCACCAAATTGGCTGGGTAATCTCTTCACACTGCAACTGAATGTTGCTCTGGCTGGGCAACATTCAGTTGTCCAGCCCACAGAAAGAGGGATGTCCTAGGAAGCAGAGGAAATCTTCTGAAATGCTCAAGACACCTTAGAATAAACAGGACTAGGAAGAAGTAAGAATAAGTAACAGGAGCATGAGAGTGCATTTCACCTGTTGGGCTGTTTTTGTTTTATGTTTCTCCTTCTTTTCCTTGCCTTCTTTGCCGCTGCCACTCCCGGAAATGCCCCCATCTTTGTGGCCATCAGATCCTTGGTCTGATGCTGGGATATAGGTGCGCCTCTCACCATCCCAGTAAAGGTACTGCTGTGTCTGGGCATTGTAATAATACTGCAAAGAGACATTTACAATTAGTCTAACTTATGTCCGTACAATATATCATAAGGGCTGGACCAGAGCCATCCCCTTGTTTAAGACCAGGTGTCTCAGTATCTCTTTATGAAGAGAAGCTATTTTTCAGCGAGTTACAGTTGGCCTTCCACATTTGTTGGGGTTAGCCTCTGC